TGAGAACCTCCCGGATCCTCTTCCTGGATGTTCCGTTCTGTGCATAAACGCTTGACTGTTGGTCGTCTTCTTCATTTGCAGCTCTTAGGGCTGCCAAGTGCTGCAGTGATAGGTCTGCATCTTTCAGCCTCACCACAGTGTATTTAATAATATGTAACAGTGTTGAACCAGGCAAACCATTTCAGGGTTATTTTTGTTCCCAAGGTGAGCCTGCTGGGACTGCAGGAGTCTGAATCTGAACTGCTCGAAGAATTCACCGAAGAAGCATCGGTCTCGCTCTGCTCAGGCTGCCAACGGCCAAGATTGCAGGGCTGCACATCCCTCTTTGGAGTCCGGCTCCGAGACGGACAGACACGCCATTTGCCCATGACTATCGATTATCCATTGATTGTATTTTGCTATGATGCAACATGATGCAACAATACTTGGACCATCTTGGACCGATGATCTTGTAGTTGATCTCTCGTAGTAGATTTTTAAGATTCAACAAAGTTCAACACATGTGTCGTGCCAGGCCACGATAACAGAGTTTGTGAAATGTCAACTGACCACAAGCGCTGCGGTCAAAAGCAAATTTTGCGTCCACCCAACCCCCAAGCCTGCCCTACAGCACTAAACCCAGATCGTAGACCGAGCACGCCTGACATAGTGTGCTTGAACTTGTCGTAGTGGTCCGACAAAAGCTGCACAAACTCGCCAGGTGACCTCATCAGGTTCAGGATCACTTTCTTTTTTGGGCCGTCGACGCGGTACTTGCGCACAACAGTTTTGTTGTAGTCTGCGATCGTGTTCTGCAAAGCGGTGGATAGTGAGAGACTCTTCCCTGAAGAAACTTTCTGAAGATCGATCGCTTTTCTGAACTGTCCAAGAAATTCTAGGGCAGATGGAGCCTGCTTCTCAGATGTCTCGTGTCCCACACCTCAACAACGGTTACATTAAGCGACTAGATGAGACCAAATATGAAATGAAAGCTGGCAGAGTGTTCGAGAGTTCAGTTTCACAAACTGAGCATTTAAGGTAATGACGCAATGCGTCATAGATGTAGCTTGCTGGATCCGATTGATGACGGTAAATAGCTTTGAAGAATCTCAGAGAAAGCAACAGTGGCGACAAGTCCTCTGAGTTCAGATCTTCATCGGGCCAATCCTTGAAATGCAATGTTAAAGATTCACCCAAAAGTAAAGGCCGAGTGGGAACAAGAAGCCAATGATCAAACGCAAAAAGCTCAAAAGAACAAGTACTCATGATAGGTAAGATTCTAGGTGATCAACTAGACCAATGATCCCCTGGGCAATAAGCCCCTTGGTGAATCCATCAACATATTGGACTGAAAAAGGAAGCACTTCGCGACTTGCAGTCTGTTGGAACTTGACTTGCAACGGCTCTCGATAGGGATCCAGGTTGTTAAAGATCACGCTTTTCATGTGGATCTTCAAGGTCGCCATGTGAGGATAGTCTCAGTCCCACAAAACTCTATTTGAAAGACAGCAGAAAACATGCGAATGCGCAGCCTTATAAATACCTGTCAAGTAAATGCATCAAGAAACAGCCGCTTTTTGCTTCCTTACTGAAATCGAGTTGATGAACGCCAACGAACATCTCATTCACAGTAACGTTTGGAATGAGGTTCACCAGTCCAGGCATGTCGTCGCTCATGCGTCCCCACACGATTCGTTGAATCGCATTTGCAAAGCCCTGCTTCTCTGGGTACTTCTCATTCAACCATTCGCCCAGGTTTTTGTCTTCAGTAACCTGATCCACAAAACCTTTGGTGGAGAAGTGCAACTGTCAGAAAACTGATGAGTAGTTCTGATTCTAAGGTAGGAACCTTCAGAAAGGCTTCCCAAAGCATCTCCCTAGCACTTGGGTTTCCTGGAGTAGCATCGGGGTCCTCCTTCAAAGCCTCTTTCATATCCTCATCCTCTTTTTTCAAGGGCTCCATGGCCACACAAGGCGCTACCACAGCCAACTCACTTAGAGTCTTTCAAGCCAAATCATTGAATACACAATGTGTATGTTGATAGAAAACCATGTGTATGTGCTCACAAGCGATCAACTCGAAGCTGCTTTTTGCTAAACTTGGCGGGTCCACGTGAAAGGGTCACCCATGAATTTCGCCTCAACCGAACAATCGCTCAGGTTGACAGGGGCCATACTGAGTGTTGAAGCTTGGATAGAACAGAAGGATTCAGGGCAGGGCCGGAAACAACGTCCCAAGTAAATCAGCAAGCCTCCTACTAAGTGTGCAAGAGGACTTGCAACATGATTTGCTTGACAGTATGTATCAAATGACTATTTGACTATTTGTCCTTCTGTAGGTCCATGCAGAACTTGTTCAGTACCACAATGTTGCAGGCCTGTGCTTTTGGATGCTTTTGGGAATGTTCAAGCTTGTGATCGACGTTTCACAGGCCTGAAAGGCGATGAGCCACGCAGCGCTCATGCTCCGCAAGTGCATAGCGTTGCCAGCCAAATCACCCAGCTCCTCCAAACCCCCCAGTGTTGCCAGTGTTTATATGACCACAAAAGAATTTTCACCCAAAAGATCCTGATCGCTGAGATTGTCCAAGCGCAGCCGATGCAAAGGGAACCCTTGCAACATCAATTTCTCGAGGCCTGCAACGCTGAAAGTGATTCACTGTCTCACCTGATACGGAATTTGGAGGAAAAAAACTCACCTGATAGATGACGGCGATCATGTCGCAGCCAGTATCGACCCTTGGGCCTGGGATGTTTCAATTTCCGGGGACACCTTAAACTTTACCCTGAGGGCAGAACGTAACAACCGGAAAAGGGTCATCAAAGTTCATCAAAGTGGGCATGCGGCCAAGACTTTGGCTAATGTCCATGCAAACCCAATCCGGCTTCGTTTGCGAGACAATGGCCATGGCCTGCAATGAAAAATGATGCTACCACAAAACTACAAAAGTGTGTGCCACTGCCTGTGTGCAACGGTCTGATAATCCACATGTATTGGGCCCACCATAGGCAATGAGCTTCTGGTACACTTTGTCCTTCTTCACCTTTCCAACCAATGTTATTGTACACATTTACTCTTTGCCGTCCCTTGGCGCCTCGTGATTCTTCATGAACTGCCAATGGGTCACGCGCCACTTTGGGCTTTTTGATGTAGTAATGCCAAAAGGATCAAAAGGTTGGTTTGACCCTGCTGTTTTGACTGTTTCTTGCCAACACAGCCTTGTACGCAAATTGTAGGGTTTGCGATTGAGCTTCTCCATCTTCTTCTCCTTGGCCTGAAGTTCAAGCAAATCTTATTCTTCAGACATGTTCCTGGGCTTGAGAGGCCTCCAAACTAGCCTTTATCTTTTTCACATCATCGTTCTTGCTATCCAAGAGGAAGGTTGTCCTGGAGCCATGCGCAACTAGAAAGAAACGGTTTTTGATACATGGCGAAGTTGAGGATCAGACCAAGGTGTGCTGTTCTGAACAAACTTCTTCTTAAGCGCATCCAATGTGGACTTGGCAGACTTCTCAAGGTCCCTGGTTCCAAGCACATCCCGGCGGATCATAACAAAGTATACCCGCTGCCGGGAAATGTTGACTCCAAGCTCACTCCTTGGGCACTACAATCTTCAATGAAATCATGTCTAAAATATGAAATTCAACTGTACATTACAAATGAGACATGTGTCGGGTCGATGTTTTGCAAAGTCATGGCGTAGTTGCCACACTGAGCAAGTTCCTCCTTGACCTGCTCAATCACACTCATGATGCCGATGACATTCTCCAAAACCACGACCTTCAAGTGGCGATAAAGAACTTACCACACTCAAATTGCGATTGCGTACTACAAATTTACTGTACATAAACTCGGTCTGTAAAAGCAAAGGTACCAGGGGCTGTGTAGATTGGATTGTGTTTCTGACTGCGTAGAATTGGCGAGCTTCAACATCGTCTAACCAGTCAGTGTGGACCCGCAATTTCGAGAAAGCTTTGCACGGGAATCCCGCGGTATACAAGGCGACCTGACCGCAACTGGACCAATGAACTCGAGAAAATTTGAGAAACATATTCAAGCCTTATGTGCGCATTGGCTAGCATCTCGCGTGAACAGGTCATCCTGCAGCCTCAGCAAATTCTACACATAAATGCGCTTGCAAAACTCAAGTTGCTCTTAGACAATGACTGGAGGTGAGGCCAGTTCTGCCGAATGAACTTTTGAGGAGCCTTCCCTTTGTCACAGCTTGACCTCAAGCAGGGCAACAAAACACAATTGAATTTATTGGGTACGGTATATATAATTCCCCACCAAATGCTGCAAAACTGCACATGTTCGATGCAATCGAGACAACCTGCTGCATTCAAGAGCATCTCCAGGCTCAGCAATGGAGCTTCAGCTCCTGAACCTTATAGAATTTATTCCAACTTTGGGTAACTAAGAAAAGCGGACATAAGAAACGGGCAATCTGTCATCAGAGTGAGTGGAGCTCTCAGTGCTTGAAGTGTTTGTTTCAAGCCTCAGGAGCAATGAGATAGAGGTAATTTGTTAAACGTATTCCAAGGTACAAACCTACAGCAGAGGAGAAAGTTTTTCCGATCTCCAATTCAGCAATCTGCTTTTTGGAGAGGGACACATGCCGGCTCATCCTCGGGGCATTTGTATATAAAGATCCCGATGCCCGAAAGTGTTGCAATGTCAAAAGTTGAGATCCCCACTCAATCTCGCTGTCGTTCGACACTTCGCTGGACACTGAGCAGCATTCACTGCTCGGGCTGTAATGAGACAGCACGGGCATTGAGAAATGGCTGCAAGACAAACACCCGGTTTCTGATTAGAAAACACCCAGTCCCAACTAGAAATGCTTTATTATAATTATTCATTTATTCCATGGTTTTCCGAGATGGTATGCCTGGGACATGGTTTTCCATTGTTGAAAAATTGTTGGCTTGTTTGGGGCTAGCTATGCTTGACCTACATCAAAGAGCTGACAGGCGCGGCCTGGTTTCGGCCGGTGCCGCCCCGCGCTCCGGTCCCCGAGGGCTCCCCAATTGAAAAGCGCTGCGGCCGACGTGCTGCACGAGGCGCGGTGCTTGGCCTTGAAGCCAGCGCGGGCCGTTTGAGACACTCCCGGTCGTGGCACCGGTTGGCACCGGTTGTTGCAGCGCGGTGCTTGACCGAGCTAGACTGGGGCACGGTGCACGCCATGGGCGTCCTGCCAGGAATCCAGGAGCCAACGTGAACAACAAAACAGCAGCAACAACCGACCGACCGACCCAACAAACAAACAATCAAACAAACAATCAATCAAACAACCACCACCAACAACAACAACTACTACTACTCCTACTCCTACTCCGACTACTACTACTACTACTACCACTACGACTACGACTACTACTACTACTACTACTATTTCTACTACTACTACTACTATTACTACTACTACTACTATTACTACTATTTCTACTATTTCTACTATTTCTACTACTACTACTACTACTACTACTACTACTACTACTACTACTACTACTTGTGACCCTGGCGGCTTGTCACGGTCACACTTAGACGGGTCGAGACCGCTGCGCAGGCAGCGAGCGCAGCTGTTGCGCTTGGTATTACTGAGGAGGACGAAGGCACTGGGGAGATATGCCGAGGTGGTCAGGCAAAGGGGCACTTTAGTTGGAGCCATGTTAAGCACCACTAACTGTCGATCTTGGTGGCATGAAGTCACGTCACACGCTTCGTCCGCATAGGTGCAGGGCCAAGTGGGGGCGCAGGGGTGCAAGAAGCATCCTTTAATGCAGGGCAACTGTGGGACATGTGTGTTGCTCCTTTTTCTTGAACAACAATCTTAGAGGCACCACCTTCTTTTTTGGGGGTCAATCCCAGGAGCCTTTTGCCCTGCCAAGGTCTAAAGATGTTGGTCCAAGCTTAGTCCAAACTACCTCTACTGGGGTTTGAGGTCGGCCTCCAAAGCTTCGGGTCTCTTGAAGAACTGCCCACCTCCCGATGTTGGTGAACCTGATGTGCCGGGCCAGACCATCCGCCTGAGACCGCAGGCACTCCAGCCAAGCAGATTAACACCACCAGCAGCGGCGAGCAGCTGGTCGAGGAACCTCCTCTCGAGCAAAAGGGTTCGAGCTGACGAGGGGCGATGCCCAGGGTGTTTGAGGATCAATCGGCCGGCTACCCTAGCATGGGTTGACCGCTATCATCCACATACTAGATGATCTAGATGGACCCTTGAAGAAACAAAAGAAAGCAGCAACAATGTTTGAGTGGCAGTTCCTGAGTAAGAACATGCTGCTCCTGCAGAGCAAGTGGCGAAGCATTTGGAACCCCAGCATTATAGGATGACGAGGATGCTGACTTCTCTAATTGGGGCGACCGAGCTAGTGCCAGGGACAAGGGATGGTGTACGGTGGGTGTTCTAGAATTATACGCCGGTTGTTTAGTTAGGCCATTCAGTGTCCAGTACCTGTTGAAGTGGCCGGAAGATTACGGAGGATTTGTTGTTTCCACGCTATGATCCATAGTCAATATTTCATCCCGCCCCACCAATCAGGTAAATTGCCTGCAAAGCACACAACATGATGGACATGCAGGGGGTCAAAGAACTATGTTGAACGGGTGTTTCTCTCCATCTCTGCTTTTGCTTCTGTTTCTCCCCGCGCCCCGACCGCCGACCGCTTCACAGCGTGGTGAGGAGCTTCTATCCAACAAGAAGCTGACGCACGAGGTCCGCGCACTTCCAGGGGGCGCGGAAGTGGACCACGCCGGTTGTGGGTGCCCTGGAGGTGGCTCACCCCCCCCCGCGGCGACACCTCTGGGGAGACCCGAAGACCCCCCACCCAGAGGGTTTTTGAGGCAGGCGTTCAGGAAAGGAATTCGATCCCACGAGCCCCATGGAGCTGAAATGGACCCATCGAAGTCGGCGTGTCGGGTGCATCGCAGCGTGGTGTGTGCAGCGTGATGGTTGGTGGGAAGGATGAGAAAGGACAAGAGTCAACGATGCGATGCCGTGCGATGCATGATCTAGTGAGGCCAAGAAGTTATAAAAAAACGTTTTGGTGCCATGCTGATGGCTTCACTGACTACATACCTCCCACCCTGCACTTTGGATTGCAGAAAATCAATTGCTTTGTGCAACAGCCCATGGAAGAAGCCTCATTCACCGAATCCACCCCCGCAAGAGCAAACTCCTACCTGCCAATGTTTCATCAGAGGCAACCAATGCGGCAATGATATTTGTAATCTATGATTGTAATATATGATATGCTCACATGTTTTGATATTGTTTGTGTGTGGTGGAGGATGCTATATAGTTACGGACAACCACTTAGAACATATTTTATCACCAGAAAGAGAGTCACATAGAACATCCATGAACATCCATAGGAACCAACACATAGAACATTGTTTTAGCATTCTAAGCCATGCACTTAGAACAATCGATATCCATGCATTCGGAACACATACACGCGAATGTGTATATACGGTATATATATATATATGTGTGTATATTATATATGCCCTAAGGTTCGTCGACTGTTTTTAAAATAGTTGTACAAAGGCGACCATAACTATCAGCAAGCGACTATTTTCCATGGCCTGCCAGGGTCACGCCAGTCTGACATGCCACTCGTGTGCGCTTGAGTGCTCCGATCTCATGCTCAAAAGGGAGCTTGTGAACTGGGTCTTGATGACCCTCCTGTGGCAACAAGCCTCCAACTAGATCGAGAAGGTGTAAAAGTTGAAGATGTTTGAGAATCATGCAAACGTTAAACAGTAAAGTTTTTATAGGCATTGCGTGCATGATATATTTCATGCAACCTTCTAAGCTTAGCTAGCTCACCATGCATGCATGCATTATCATGCATTGCTTCACCACATGTTCATCCCTGTGCGCTATGCATCGGGAGCTGGTTGCCTGATGACATTCTTCAATGCGAAAAGCTTTGAAGCGACGTGCAGGGCTTGGTTTCCGCCTTCACACAAGAGATAGATGATTGCATAGCATGAATAGTGTGAAGGGATGTGAAGAGTGCAGTGGTACATGGGCCCATGGGGTCATCGCTTATTGATTTAGGTTTCTTTGAGACACAGACTGAAGATGACCTTGTGGATCTGGACATCTCTAAGGGATGCGGTACGCCTCCTCCTTCTGTCTCGTGCGTTGAGAGGTTGTGCAGTTTTTTAACCTTAAAAAAGCAGGGATTAATCTATGGAGCTAGCGTTGTTGATTGAAGTTGTCGTCCATGTGCGTGCATGCACAAGAAAACATCCAGGAACATCGTGTATCACATTTGATTCTGACGCTGCTGCAATTTCACTTGGCACATTATTACTTTCTTGGCTCCACAAAGGGGTTGGGCTATAAAACCACAGGACCTTGGACATGTTGGTCGATGTCATTTACAAAGGCTTGTGGCCACTGTGTGAACCTAGCTAGCACGCACGCACGCCATGGCGACACCAGTGGCACGCATCAGCCGGACAGAAGAAGTTAAGGCGTTTTTGGTTGCATTATCATCGAGCAGTGTTTGTTTCCGGTTGATGGTGCCTGGGTTCTCGAGTCCAGCTTCTAGAATGTCAATTAATTAGATCCACCATCGAAGTGACCTCGAGGCCTTCCTGATGGACATGATGGAGGATGACTTCCTGCAGAAACGCCGGAAGTTGCTTCGAGTACGAGCTGGGCTCACTGACAAGGATACCAAAAAGGCCATGCAGCCTGATCTGAAGTGGCAGAGTGGTCACGTTTGCTGTTTGTTCTTAATATCAGTGCTTCATGCAACAAACTTGCATGCACGTTCTATTAATTATAAATGAATTAATGTGTTCCACAATAATTAGCCCTTGTTCGACCTGTTGAAAAATACATCATGCATGGCTATCGACCAGATTCGATGGGTTTTGGGGGGTAACAACTGGGTGCATGCATGCATGCATGTAAATCTGTTAAATCATTATTTTGTGACCACTGGTTGCAATGCAGTGATGCTTCCGATCATGGTACTAATCATCAGCAACCGAATCTAGATCGATAGAAGGACAGGTGGTTCCAACCAATGGGACATGATCGTTTAATAGAATTATGAATTGAAGAAACACCTGTTCGAATTGGGGTTGCATGAACCAGCCATGAACAAACAAACTCTTGCAGGTGCCAAAGTGGCAGTTCATTATCATCGACAAAGAGCGGATCACTTCTCGAGAGGCCTTTTTTGTGGTTTTGCTGAACGTTAAATTCTGGATAGCCACATGCACATGCATGCGTGCACATGTGCATGCAAACAACTCACGGGGATCAGCTATGCTACGACATCACAGTCACATGTCGACATGTGCATGCAGGTAGAGTCTGACCACAACATCCACGTGATCTTGGACTTTCTGGCAAGCTTTGCAGATGACATTCCCCCTAGCAATGATATCAAGGACATGCGGTCCAAACTATTAAAGACTGCAGTGCATGTATAGTGGAATTCCGGAATGTATGCTGATGTTGTAGTGTATATGAATTTAGATTCTCATTCAGCAAAACTGGAACCTGCTACTCCAAATTGCAAGTGCATGTACAAACCTTGCAACAATCCTTTCCAGGAAGCACTGGCATGGTGCTCACAGGTCTACAAGCTGAATCCCTGGAGCGAGAAAGCGCTTCACGAGGCCTCCTGTCCTGAGTTTGTAGTCAACTTGAGTTGTCATGGATGATGCATGACAACGTCATGGGTCATATATGACCAACATTAAAAAAACACACATATAAGATCAGCATTGGGTCTTCTGGTGATGTCATGCCAGTGAGGCTTGGGCAGACACCGAGGGAGGTGTCCTTCGGGCCTGCGCTGCCTACTGTTTGGACAGATTCCAACGCTTCGAAAAGTCAAGGCAAGTTTTTTGGACTTGACTGCTGTCTTTTGCATGCATGGTATGTAGGCCTATAGGAATGCAATGTGATAGATTTGGATCGTCAATGATCGTTGTTTATAGATGATATATATCGTTCGTAAATTTGCTAGAGTTCTCAACTTCGAAGTTTCACAACCCATTGGCCCTTTGGCCCTCAATAGGAGGCCCCTCTAGCAAGAATGACGCGCAAGCGTTGCACAGGCCAGGGCATGAGCGCATGGACCAGATCAGAGCTGTGATCCGCGCAAAGCTTGAGGACTGCCAGTGATTGTACCAATCTGATTGAACACTAGCTTATCCTGGTACTGTAATAAGAAAAGGAAATATTGCTCACTCAAATTATAAATTAACATTGTTGCGTGTCAAGAATCAGGCTAATATGCCCACCGCTTCATTTCTGGACGGGTCTCCTTTGTATCATGTCGGCCATGCCATGCCCTGGCACGAGTGCCCCTCGCTCAGCCAGGAAGCTGGACGTCTATCTCCTGAGGGAAAAAAATTCCCTCGAGGGGCATTGGTGCAATGAGGGTGAAGCAGGCTGAGGCCCTGTGGTCTGGTGGAGAGGGGAAGACTGCATGTTCGATCCTTTCTTTGCTTCCATTCACCCCCATTCATTCATAAATTTATATATAGTGGGTTGTGTCATGCCCCCAGGCAGCAAAAAGAGCTGTGCTCATGGACAACATGGAGACCCAACTGCAAGACTCCCAAGGTGGCTATCCAACCCCGTCACCGATCCGGAAAATTGGTGATGTCTTCAATAACGATGCAGGGATCCCCTTGCAAGATACCGATGCAGATGCGGAGCAGGAGGAGGGAGAAGAGGAAGAGGAATTCACAACTGATGAAGAAGTGCCTGTGGATGCTTCTGATGTCATCATGATCCATGACAATGTATGCATCGAGATACCGGATCAGCATGAAGACCCTGCACCAATAGAAGCCCCAATGGAGCCCCCCAGTGTTCCCGCTGATGTCCAGCAGTGCAGCGCTCCTTCGCTTGCACCACCAGTGGACCAATCGTCCGATCACACAGAACCTGTGGCCAGGGATGCAGAGGCTGAGACACAGGACAATGGTCCAGGGGGCGCAGTGGTTGAGGGGTCAATGGAAAACCTTCAGAGTGAGGATGTCAAACTATTTGAAGATGTTCAAGATGGTATTGATTCAGAGAAGGAAGAAGCAAAGGACCCAAATACATCAAAAGGAGTTTTCAAGGTGGGACCTGCAATCGGACTTGTGTCGTTATGTCGGTTCTCTCATGACTGGTCATCGAGCCAAAAAAATTACAGTAAACAATGGTATCAATGGTCAGTCTTTTTTATATATACTCGACTGAAACTTTAAATCATGCATGCTATATGAATTAGGCCTGGTCTATTGATCATTGTAATCCTCTGGTCTTTCAGGACCGAAGGCCACTGAAGGAGGACGTGAACATTCCACAGAGTCTCCAGGATCAAGCAGAAGTCCAGCTGAAGTTTCTGGAGCCTACTGAGCCAACAACAGATGAACACAAGGCTGAGATTGCCAAGGCCACATGCGTGTCGTTTTGGGCTCTGGGATGGGTTTGGTCTGGGTGTATGGTAAATAATAGTGGTCATTGGTCATACCTGATCTATTCGATGTACTTTAATATTTATTTATAAAGGGCATTCCAAAAATCCACCTGGGCAGCTTCGTGATTTCTGTAAAGTACAAGTTGGGTCCATCCATTGGTCCATCCACCTTCAGTTCAAGTGGCTTATATTGCAATTGCAGGTTTAGCAGCATGAGCATATATGGATCGTATATATGAGCTAGCATGGACGGCTGGATCTTTTC